TGGCGTGGTTTCGGAAAAATCGTCAGTTGGTGGCAGTGGTAGTGGTACATTTGATGTAGAAATCAAATTCGTAAGTCAACCTGCAAATCTTGCTGCCGGATTGATCACAAATCTTTCCATCACATCAGGAAAGAGAGAAAATTTTAGGGTCATCCCTATCGAGTCCCTGATAAAATCTAATGGCCAATCAGCCTATGTTTTTACAGCCGAAAATGGTAAAGCCAAGCAAATCAAAATTACAATAGCTAAGATATTGGGTGATAAAATAGCTGTATCCGGAGGTCTGGACGGCATCACCAACGTGATCACAACCGGAGCAATGTATCTGGAAGACGGAGACCCAATCGAGTACTAATCTTTCAAAAAAAAATAACCATTAAACTGATCACAAGAACTTGTGCTGTTGTAAGCGGTATCACAAATCACAAAATCGCAGATTACTCAATAGTAAATCACAAAAGCATCGATCATTCGATCACGGATCGCCAAATCACAAAATAATTAATACATGGGTTTCAATAAATTTTTCGTAAAAAATTGGCAGTTTACTTTGGTCATTTTTACAGCCGTTATGGTTTTGGGTATTAATGCACTGCTAAATATGCCTAGAGGAGAAGACCCTCCATTCGGTGCACCTATATTTTCTATTGTAGTCGTATATCCTGGTACCAATCCGGCAGATATGGAAAAACTTATAGCCGATCCTATAGAAGAGGAGTTGTATCAACTATCGGATGTTAAAAAAATCAACACTACAATCAACGATGGTCTTATAGTCATGCTTGCGGAATTTAATTTTGGCGTAGATATAGAAGGTAAAAACAATGATGTCATCAGAGAAATCAATAAAATACGTTCCGAACTACCGGAAGGTATCGTTTTGTTAGATATTAAAAAAGCTGCATCGAGTGACGTCGTCATCCTCCAATCTGCCTTAGTTTCTGATACTGCCTCGATGGAGTTGATGAAAGATCTTGCTCAAAATCTCGAAAAAGATATCGAACATATTAAAGATATCAAATGGGTAGAAATACAGGCATCTCAGGAAAAGGAAATACATATAGATTTGGATCTGGACAGAATGGCCGCTATGAAACTAGGCTTAAATCAAGTCATCGGACTCATCCAAGCTAACAATATCAACATACCTGGTGGTGATATAGATTTAGGTCAAAAGAAATATAATATCAAAACCACCTCTGAATTTAAAACCATTGATGACATCAGGTCGACTATCGTACAGGTGACCCCTCAAGGCAAGACGGTCACTTTGGGGCAGATAGCAACCATATACTATACAGAGGAGACAACAGATCACATCGCAAGACACAATAGCCATAGGGCCATCTGGATCAACACAGCTATGAAGGATAAAAAAAACATCATATCTGTTCGTAAGGAGTTAGAACCAGTCCTTTCAGCATTCAAACAGAAATTGCCAAAAGGCATCACCTTAGAAAACGCTTTTGATCAGGAAAAAGGGGTAAAGCATAGATTGACTGGACTAGGTAGAGATTTTGCTATAGCCATATTTTTAGTATTATTAACATTATTGCCATTGGGCACAAGAGCCTCTATTGTGGTGATGATTTCTATTCCGCTGTCATTGAGTATTGGGCTGTTTATGCTGGATTTACTGGGATATACGCTCAATCAATTGAGCATAGTAGGTATGGTCGTTGCCCTGGGATTGTTGGTAGATGACAGCATTGTGGTAGTGGAAAACATAGAGCGCTACATGCGCAAAGGCATCTCTGCACGTGAAGCAGCTGTCACCGCCACCAATCATATCATGATAGCCATTCTGGGTTGTACTGCTACGTTGATTTTGGCCTTTTTACCATTGGCCAATCTTCCTGAAGGTTCCGGTGATTTTATTCGGTCACTGCCTATGGCTGTCATGCTCACCGTATTGGCATCGCTTTTTGTATCTGTGACCATCATCCCGTTTTTATCGTCGATCCTACTCAAATCCCACGAAAATGCAGCAAGAGGCGAAGGAAACTTTTTCTTCATTGCCTTTAAAAAATATGTAAACAATCCTTATCAAAAACTTCTGATCTGGTGTATGTCTCACAAATTGGCTACCTTAGTGTTGGCGGCAGCCATTTTTATGTTGTCGTTGCTACTGATACCTATACTGGGTTTTAGCTTATTTCCGGAATCAGAAAAACTCATCATCACCATCGATATCGAAACCGAACCAGGATCTAATCTCTCACACACCGACAAAGTAGTGCGTAAAGTAGAGCAGAAGCTTCTGACATTTTCAGAAATAGATCACATCAGCGCCAATGCCGGCAAAGGAAATCCAAGGATATATTACAATGAATTTCAACGTCAGAACTCACCCAATTATGGTCAAATCATCGTCTATCTCAATGAAAAAACCAAAGTACCTGATATCATCAAATTTGCAGACAAAACCAGAACCGCTCTTTCTGGTTTCCCGGGTGTAAAGATCGAAGTCAAAAGGTTTCAGCAAGGTCCACCTATATCTGCTCCGGTCGAAATGAGAATCATGGGCAACAATCTGGATACTTTAGATATCTTAAGCACCAAAGTCGAAAAACTAATCAAAGAAAGGTCAGGCTCCATGTACGTACGCAACGACTTAAAATATGTAAAATCAGATATCATCGTAGATGTCAATAGAGAAAAAGCAGGCCTTTATGGAATCAGTAGTGCAGAGATAGCCAAGACAGTGAGGCTTGCTATAGCAGGTCTGCAGGTAGGAGAAATCAGTAACACCAAAGGAGATGAGTACAAAATGAAGGTTTCTTTATCTCAAAATACTGAAAATGCCCTCCAAATGTTTGATCAGGTTTTTGTCACTTCTATGAGCGGATCACTTGTACCTTTAAAGAGCATGGCATCATTTTCATTAAGACCTTCGGCGTCTATCATCAGACACTTCAACAAAGAGAGATATGCATTGGTCAGTTGTTTTGTACAAAACGGGGTAAATGTAAGCCAACTCACTGATGATATATTAGATGATATTAACACAAATGTGACAATGCCGGAAGGATACAGAGTCGTCGCTGCTGGAGAGCGCGAGTCACAACAAGAGTCTTTCGGTGGGCTCGGTACGATCATTATATTGACTGTATTTGGATTGTTGGCGATATTAATTCTGGAATTCCGAACCTTCAAATCCACAATAATTGTCTTAAGTGTCATCCCTATGGGTATCATCGGTGCTTTAGTGGCATTGTACATAGCAGGAGAGACTATGTCTTTTGTAGCTACAGTAGGCATCATCGCACTGATGGGCATCGAAATCAAAAACTCCATCCTTATGGTGGACTATACCAATGGTCTTCGGGAACAAGGCATGAACCTCTACGAAGCTGTAATGGATGGTGCCGAAACCAGATTTTTACCCATCTTACTGACATCTATGACTGCTATTGGCGGATTGACACCATTGGTTCTCGAAAACTCACCATTGATCAGCCCATTGGCCATCGTATTGATAGGAGGATTGATCAGCAGTACATTATTGAGTCGATTGGTGACACCTGTGCTGTATTATTTGATACCACCTGAGGTAAAGAGGTAATGTAGATTAAACGCAAAAGAACTTGAGTTCGACATTATGAGTTTGTATAAAGTTTCATGATTAAGTGAAAGTGATTAAATTTAATTTTGGCCAAAGAGCACCACGACGTGAAGTTGTAGCCGGAAACTCAAGCCTTCTGGGTGATTCGGTAAGTCGAATAATATAACGCATACTAAAATAAAATCTTCCGCTTAAAGCCAAATCATAAAATTTTAAAACTTACTCTAAGACAGAAAATGCAACAGACAAGCTTGAAAAACCATAAACTCAATGCTTATGAAGGAAAAAGATATTGTAGCGGAACGAAAGATATTTCATATTTGTAAAAAAGGTAAGAGTCAAAACAATGTTTTCTTCCTTTTCCGTTTCTGAAAAATTATAAACCCACATTCAAAAAAATCGTTAAAAAATAGTGACCTTTGTACCTTTATGCAAGAAGTAGGTTATTCATATCTAGACGAACTCAATGATATACAACGCCAGGCAGCGTCATGTATTGAAGGACCTGTGATGGTCATTGCCGGGCCTGGATCCGGCAAAACTCGTGTACTCACCTATAGGATAGCCCATATGATTCATTCGGGCGTCGCTCCGGGACAGATATTGGCACTTACTTTTACCAATAAGGCAGCTCGTGAGATGAAAGACCGTATCGAGCGTGTCGTTGGTCCTAAGGCACAGAGAGTCTGGGCAGGCACTTTTCACTCCCTTTTTGCGCGCATATTGAGAGTAGAAGCACATCGTATCGGATATCCCAATGACTTTACCATCTATGATACGGATGACACCAAAAGTGTGATCACTGAGATCATCAATCAAATGAATCTCGACAAAAAAGTCTATGCTCCCGGAATAGTCCGCGGACGTATTTCAGCTGCCAAAAGTAATCTCATCACGCCCAAAGCATATGTAGCAAATGACGAACTCATGTCTTATGACAGGATGAACAGAAGGCCATTGATCCATGTGATATATGAAAAGTACGCTGCAAGATGCCTGCGTGCCGGGGCGATGGATTTCGATGATCTACTGCTGCAAATGTTCAGACTTCTTTACCAAAATCCTGACAATATCCGCGAAAAGTATCAACGACAGTTTCAATACCTGATGGTCGATGAGTTTCAGGATACCAACTACCTCCAATACGAAATACTCAAATTACTTTCGGTATATCCGGGAAGCAACAATAATATCTGCATCGTAGGTGATGACGCACAAAGTATTTACTCTTTCAGAGGTGCCACTATAGAAAATATCCTGCAGTTTGAAAATGATTTTCCCGATCTCCGCACTTTTAAGCTGGAGCAAAATTACAGGTCGACCCAATTTATAGTAGAAGCTGCCAATGAAGTGATCAACAATAACAAACGCCAGATACAAAAAAAAATATGGACCGATCGCATCGAAGGCCACAAAATCAAAAGTCATCAAAACCATGACGGAGACCGAAGAAGGAAAACGCGTAGCAGATACTATCATAGAGCAAAAAAACCGTTTTAATCTGGCCAATAAAGATTTTGCCATCCTGTACCGTACCAATGGGCAGTCAAGAATTTTTGAAGAGCAACTCAGAAGATACAACATTGCTTACCGGGTGTATGGTGGCTTGTCCTTTTATTCCCGCAAAGAGATCAAGGATCTGATAGCCTACATGCGAGTCACCATCAATGATAAAGATGATGAAGCACTCAAAAGGGCCATCAACTACCCCAGACGTGGCATAGGTGATAGTACTGTAGATCAAATATCACAACTCGCCGAAGACAACGATATGAGTATGTGGGAAGTGCTCACAAAAATTGAATTTAACAACCGCTCCCGTAAAAGTTTAGGTGAATTTGTACAGTTGATCCATGCCTTCAAAACTAAAGTAGCAAAATCCAATGCTTATGAAATAGCAGACTATATCTACCGAAACAGTGGTATAGAAAAGCTTCTGAAAGATGATAAATCACCGGAAGGACTGGGAAGGGTAGAGAATATCGTTTCGCTTCTGGATGGTATTCAGGAGTTTGTGCAGGATGACGAGCTGGAAGCAGGTGAAGAAGGTTCTACTGACAGAAGCCTATCAGCGTATCTTCAGACTATCTCTCTGATGACAGATCAGGATCAGAAAGAAGAAAATCCTGACAATGTCACCTTGATGTCGGTGCATTCAGCCAAAGGCCTTGAATTCAAATCAATATTTGTGGTCGGCTTGGAAGAAAACCTTTTTCCCAGCTACATGGCACTGGTGGATAGTAACGATGTTGATGAAGAACGTCGCCTGTTTTATGTAGCCATAACACGTGCTGAAGAACATCTCTGTCTCACGTACGCCAACAGCCGATACCAATACGGCCAAATGCGATACAATGACCCAAGCCGCTTCCTGGAAGAGATTTCTGACAGCAATCTTGATTCCATTATATCCATTACAAAAAAACAGGAATTCCCTGAGCCAAAGATACTTGGCAATTTCAAACCATTGGGATCCAAAAAACCCATGCTTTCTATCAATCCTGATGACTTTGTCGCTGCTAATCCCAATGACATCAAACCAGGTATGGAAGTCATTCACCTGAAATTTGGTCAAGGCAAGGTGCTTTCTGTGGATGACCGTCTTGTAGCGACTATCATTTTTGATGGATTGAGTGATACACCGGAGAAACGTATCATGCTTCAGTTTGCAAAATTGCAGATAGTGGAGTAATTGTTCTACCCTTGATGATCAAGAAGGTTTAGTTAATAAATTTAGGCAAATAAGTGAACTAATATGAAGGAATTTATCCAAATTCATATTAGGTTTAAATCGACTAAAAATCCATTTCACGACTTTATATCCCTATCTGTCGGAATGAACTTTGATGACTAAGGCTTTTGTCTTTTCTTTGTTGGCAAATAGTATTGTCATGAAGAAGTATTTTATGTATGCAGGTATTTTAACAGTCATAGGGTTTTTATTTTATCTCGGGAACATTGCAACTTCTGAGTGGAAAGAAATTAAAAAGTACCGAAATAAATTGGAATTAGGAATTGCATTTGTAAATCCTGGAGATCTGTATGTAGTTCAGGATTCTCTTATGAAAAAATCATTTTTTAAAGTTATTGGCCTAACAAGTGACTCATCTTATTGTATTGCATACGGTAAGGATACCAGTATTTTACCATCTGATTTAGGACAATCGACCATTTTGCTAAAGGAAGGCTTACTGCTAGACAAGCATAAAAACTGGGTAGCTGAGGTACTGGAAAATCAAGATAACTTCAATGATAAGCTTGATTTTTTATCAAAAAATGAAATAGACTTCATGTTTTCCAATAACACGATCCATGGTTACGACAATGGTCAACCTGAAATGGACTTTATTTTCAAACTAAATTTACAATACTACTTTGGAGGTCCTTTATTATTAGTAATTTTATTATTGGGTTTATTCATCTTATTTTACCTTTTTGATATGTTTACAAAGGCCTTGATACCAACAAAAAAGTATACAATTCTTCGGCTTTCTAGTATCATTTTTGTAATAGTGATTTATGCATTTTTAAACGGGAAGTATATGCTTTTTTCTTCCTTTTATCGTGACTCGTCGATAGGATATGTATATGTCTTTTTAAGTCACGTTTTGGTATTGTTAGCATTTCAAAATATTTCCAAAAGAGTTGAAAGAATGCCATTTGAAGAAAAAGAAATTATGAAGTTTTTTAGTATCATTATATTAGGATTAGGATGCGAATTTATATTTAGGCTTTGTTTTGATTTTTTGCTTTATAATGTTCAAAATCAAGGAAACTATGAC